TTTAAAACGTTGGGGCCAAACAGAGACTAAAGACTAAATCGAGTTGAATCAAAAGTAAAAATATCCATAACAACTCAAGTCTCAACTTTTTCTTTTCTCTGACATAAAATAACAGTATTATTCATCAGTACTGTATGTAGTGATGTGATATGGCTATGTTTGAGCCACATTTTTTCAAAAAATACGTTTTTAAATAGGGATTTGACATCATTTCAACCACAAATTTTTTAATAAAATAATATTACAATTTAAATTTTTATTTTTATTTTATTTTTTAACCGCACATTTTCTATCAATACATTATTCAAAAATGCATTCTGAGGAAAATAATGTGGCTCAAACAAGGGCAGATGATTATAATTGATTTGTCATCTTAAATATAAGATTTTAAAATGATAGATTAATTAATTTCACAACTGCTTATTTACTGAGATCACCCTTCGACCAGGTCAAATAGTTGCAGTTAAATTACTTGATTGAAATTCTTGATTTTATTATTGATATTTATAGGTGCAAGCTTCAATTCTCGTTCTAGTATTCTTTAATCAACTATTTTCAGAGTTTAAACTTCAAGTTTTGTAGCAAGTCGTCCAAATACGTAATTCAACAATCACTACACATAAGTGTGTAATTTATAATTTGTAGTGTAAAATAAGCACAAAAATATTCGTCCTTTCTAGATGAACGGTCCAGATAGGCAACGTATGATTTCTCCATGCATATTACAATTATAACATTAAAAAAGTATCATACGTAGACCATTCCATCCTGATTTGTTGGCACAATTTACTGCAAATCTCATACAATTTTTCTACCTACCGTCTTTGACAAATTCATATCAAATTTTGACCAAACTACTTATATACAGTAAAATTATAACTATTTTTTCTTTTAAATAGTGTCTTATTCAATCTATTATTTTTTATTTATTTTTTCCCTTTTCTCCTTCGCGAATTTGTTTAACCGTTATACTAACGTTTCTTGTTGGTGTGTGTCTATGCGATAAGTTTTACTTTCGTATCTTTATTTTTATTTTTTTTTCTCTTTTCTCATTTTTCCATATTCGGTTCGCATAATCTAACGTATCATTTTGCCCGTTTGAAAGAATAGATTTTGTTCTTCTTGCTCTGCAGATTCTTAATTTTTCTTCTCCGAATTATTTAATACATAAAAAGTACTTTATTTATTTGAAAAGATAGAGTCTACCTAAAATATTGGCATTGTTGAGCACCAGTCACTCTCAGAGTGACCTACCGCTGCTTTGATTTGACTACCTTAGCAAGAACATAGGCATTATATTTAGATCCAAAATTAAACCAAGAATATGTTTCACACTTGAAACTACTCGTTTGAAAATTAACGAGAAATGTCACATCCACATGAATCATTAACCAAAGTCGTTACGTTCTTGTAATAATCCCTTATTAAGGAGGGAGCACATGAGACCACCATCCAATAAAGACAAGTGGTGTTATAAATTTCATTTAGGTGGTACTAACTGATAGATCCAATTCAAATTTAAAAAAAATAAAATTCATGTAATTAGTATGTGCAAATCAAAATCGGGCGGATCTTTACCCGGAGTAGAGCATAAACCTAAAAAGATGAAAGAGACCCATTCAGGAACAAGAAAATACCATCGTGATTTGGATTGAATCTCGATGAAACAATACATCAATGAGAAGTTAATTCGATAAGTTTAGTGACTTTTTTTCTATTATAAGGAAGAAAGAAGTTCAAATTCGTCTTTATTGAAAAATCGAAGAAAAAGTCCTTTCATTAGAAGTCAGAAAAAACCTGCTATGAAAAAAGAATAGGAACAAAGAAAGCATCATTTAGAGTCATCAAAATTGATATTTTAACATCATTAAATACTAAATATGTACTTTTCGCATACATTAATTATTTACAACCTACTACATGATCAAAGTCACATGGTGTGAACATTCAAGTCACACTACTCTAATGAGGTCAAAAAGTTGGAAATATAATGATATTTTCATCATATAAATTAGCATTATATCAAATAAATTTCAACACAAAGACCCATCGATGACTACTACTTCGAACTCTTGCTTACAAGGTGGAAATGGTCAATTCTATTTTGAGGAATAAGTCAATTTTACATTTGAAAAGTCTTAATTAGGTTTCAGTACGAAATAGAGTTTACTTAGAGTAATGTAATGAATCGATTCTCTAGATTTCTTGATGAATTAAGGTACACTTGTATAAAATACGCTTTTATAGCAAGTCAATTTTGACATTTCTATTATCCGATCTAAGAATATCCAAGTTGTACAAAGCAAGACCTCTTATGTCCCAATTGCCTTACTACATGTCTAAGCAAGAGTTTTGATACGTCACAAGTAGTTAAAAGGATTTCATTAAAAAAGATTACCGGTCAAGAAAATAAATAGAATAAGTATACTTATTATCCAAATGAATAAGCATAAGTTTTGATATGATATAATTTTAAGAGGACGGAAGTATTTGACACACGATAAATTACTATTATCAATAATAAGCAAATTGAAATGAAGTAATTTTTATGTGTTATAAAACTTCCAAGAGTGAAATTTGAGATTAAGAGTGTCTCTGATGGACCATGGATTGCATCAAAAAATTATGTCAATCAGTAATGAATGATATTTTAATAAATACTTATTTATGCATATTAAGTTGTGATGTAATCATGATGGCATAGTGATGTGCAAAGCCAATTTGAATATTTAATTCGTAAGACATATGCAACAACCAAAAACTAATATATATATTCACACCAAATTAGAGAGTCAATGTGAGTTGTCTTTTGTCATTGCAATCTTTTTCATTTGTTAAATCTGAAGAGTTAACGTGGTCAAATCAATTTTACTCTTAAGTATTGATAAGAACTTATTTTTAATTCAATCTAGAATAACGTATTAATTATTGTGCTTATAATAAACGTTGAACTGTTAAGTGTAAAGAAAATAATTGCTAAACAAGTATAAGCTCAACTCATTCAAAGATGAGTATTATCTTATTCTAATAATTCGAGTAGCATAACTAAGTCGGCAATGGGATCCTTAACCTACAAGATGTAATATATGTTATGAAGTGGTATAATTGTTCAAAACCAACAATAAAAATAAAAAAAAATAAAAACAAAAATTAGGCCATGCGGTCGCATGGCCTAAAGCCATGCGACCGCATGGAACCCTACGGAGACCATATGGTCTCGGTAGGATTGGTACAGAAAAAACGACCGTTGGGTGGTTTTTTGTTGATTTTTTGGTGGCTTTTCATCCATAAGGTGCACCACTTCGTAAAGCTATACTACTTGGCTATAAATAGGTGATCTTGAGTCATTGAAAAATGTTGAAAAAAACACTTATTATATTGATCCTTCTTGAGATCAAATCCAAAAGATAAAATACCCTCTCATATTCATCTTTTCTTTGTGTTCTTAAGTTTTAGAGATTCAAACAAGTGTTTAGTGTTTGAATCTCTATAAGGCTTGATTAATCCTTCAAACCTTTTGCCGGATCACCCTTTAAACACCAAAATAGTGGGGGCAAAATTCGTTTGAGGACAACAATCAAAGATTGTGTTTGAGCCTTCAAAGTTCTTCATATATCCTTTGCCATTTGTTCATCTCCTATACTTCTTTCGATAATTTTTCTATTTGTAATTCGTTCTCATCTTTGGTGGAGTAACATTATTTCCAACAATCTCAAACGAATTTTTTGTGTGTGATGGAAAACGAAACTACAATGGCGACCATCAAATTGATGAATCAAGATTTGGTTCGATTGGATCGGTTCGATGGCACAAATTTCACAAGATGGCAAGACAAACTTTTTGTCCTTTTTTATTTTATTTTTTTTGAAAATCTGAATTTAAATTATAATTAAATATCTCAATTTACCATCTCATCTAATTGGTTATTTTTATAAACTCAATTTAAATAATAAAACAAAATAAAAAGATTTCCATGCATTTGGGTAATTAGAGGTATAGCTCATGTTCCGTCTCTAAGTCCCATTCATACATCGGGGTTGGGTCAAAGGAGAAAATTTTGGCCATCCCCATTAGTAAAGTGATAGAATTAAAAATATATGTATTGTTAAGCTTAATAAAATAGGTGATAAAGTTTATTAATTAGTGTAATTAATTTTGATGATAGGTCAAAACGTTTCATGAAATGGCCGTATTAATTCATATTCTTTCCACCCCATTTATACATAAGCCGCCCTTTTTTCTTTTTTTTTTTGGTCCCAATTATATGACCTTACTTCTTTATTGAAAATGTCTTATTTTATTTATTTACCAATATACCCTTACTTAATTTGCCTTATTATAATCAATTTTCTCCACTTAATTTTAAAATTGTACAAATATAAATAAAAGCAAATTAGAAAAAAAAATTGACAAAAATTAATTTTTCAATAACATTAAATAAATTTTCTTAATCTGTGTAAAGAACAAAACCGCTCTTTATAAATGGGACAGAATGAGCAAATGGAATGAAATTATAGATTGTTCTCAAGTGCACTTCAAGTATTAACCATTTATACTTACTAATTTATCTTAACTCTTAAAAGGAGAAAGGAGGTGAATATAATACTCGAAATTAGAAACATGAAAGGCTAATGATATTCTTGAAAAGTTGAAAAAAAAAAAAAAATGTCGCTAACATTATACAAAAAGTAGGAAGCGTCTTTGATACTCAAAAAAATAAAAAAATAAAAATAAAATAAAAATAAAATAATAATAATAATAATAATGATAATGATGATGATAATTTGAAGGATAAGAGAGGGCATCTCTAACATTAATAAAAGGTGAGGAAGGTTAAAGATATTGTCCCTAGTTTCAAATTCTCGATATTCAAGCTAGCATGGTTTTTTTTTTTTTTAATCTATGAGCATGAAGCTTTCCACAGAAAAAGCTACATTACCCTCCAAAACTATTATTTAGAAAGGTCAGGCATTTTAATCTTATGATAGGCTAAACAAATGTATATCACTCGTTCACAAACATTGCACTTCACACGAATGTACATAGAAACAGAGACAGAGAGCCATCACAGAGGTTATAAATGTCAATAATTACATAAGCAGCCGATCCGTAGACAAGTTTATATAAGATCTTCACGCTTACAGAGCAGTAAAACTACTATTTTAACGAAACGAAACAGCTCCATTACTACATAATCATACGGTTAAGATTGCAACAGCATTGTATGTATCACATAACTTACGGATTACGCTTTCTCTTCTTGGCAAGATTATCGAAAACCTGATGGATATCTGCAGTCGTGATAGGCTTCGAGGGGTCAGATGATTCCTGAGATAAAGGAAATATGAAAGTTAATCCTTTCAAAGAGTGGTGACCGCCACACAATGTCCTAACTCCCAAGGGTGTACCGGATTGGACAATATAATAAATAGAATATAGTTTCTTTTCTTTTAGGTGAATTCGTCCTTTGGTCCAACATTTTCCAAGAAAGACATCCATGTCCCCAATCTTTAGTTTGTACCATTCCCCAACCTTTTACATTGTGCGCACTGTGTCCCAACTCAAATGAAAATATCTAAATAGATGATAAAAGATCACAGATAGGCACGTAATAAATAACTGGTAGGGATAATTGAACAAAAAGTCCATCCAAAAATACATGTCCAAATCATAATTGTACAATCAATAGTTAAAAAGTTCATCATTTGGTTTTTGGAATGGAGAAGATTATTTTGTCCAATTAAACCTCGCACTCATTTATCACACCTTTTACCGTCTATTTAGACATTCTCCATCAAGTACCATGTGCATAATGTAAAAAGTTGTGGACACGAAATGGTACAAACTAAATGATGGGAACATGAATATCACACTTACAAAGGTTTGGAGACCCTTGGTAGAATTTACCCTCTATTTTCTGAAAAATTGTCATACCGTATAATCTATCCCAACATACAATAAGAGTCAAATGTAAGCAGTCATACCAGGAAGGAACGAATCTCATCCTTCATGTCAGCAATTCCACTTAGAATCTCCATCTTCTCGACATGACCTAATGTATTAAGAAAGTCACCCTCTTGTTTCTGCAAATTCTCATCCCTCTTCTGCTTCGCCACTTTCTCATACTCAGCAATGGAATCCTCTTTGTCAAGCAAGAAGCTGATTCCCTTCTGAGTGTAGAAGTACGAACATGTATCACATCTGCAAATGACTTCTCTCCAGTTTTTAAAAAGAAACATTGATTTACTATTGTCACTGGTCAGAGGAGTTTCAGCCAAGTTTATTCCAAGAGTACACTTCTTGCTCGAGCCAGCAGCTTGGCTGCACTCATTGGTTGTACCTTCTGCATTAGCATTAGTAACAACAGTGTTAAGCGAACAATTTCCATGCTCAAGCTTCCCCGATGACTTCATAGAAGAAGGCAGATCTTCGAGAACTGCTTTCTCCTTCGTCAAATTTGCCACATTGCTGTTACTAACCAATGCTGAAATGGTTTCGAGATAGTAAGTCAAAAAAGAGCAAACAGCAGCACACCCTTGGCAGATAAAGTCTTCATATAGAGGCTCGCCTTCTTCATCTCTTGGGATCTATAAGAAATACACAAGGATGTTGACAAGTTCCAATATGTAAACTGTAAACAAATACAAGGAACGCAACTTTCCAGAGAGAGTTACTTGATAAAATCTAGAAGGTTAAAAGAATTTGAATCCCCCCTGACCAGTGAAATTAGTTAATCTATAAAGAACACGTTTACCTAAGTTTACTTATAAGTAAATATGTTATCACGTAAGTAAATTTTATTGATCAAAAATTGAAATTAAATTACTTATATGGCACTAAGCATTACTTTCACAAATAAATATCTTTTTATTTGTAATTAAGAAAGCATAATTCGTCCATCATGTTTGGAAACAAATTTTTGACCATAACAACTCCTCCAGTACATTCATGTCTACTTTGTGACAGGGAATTGCATCCAATACCCCTAAAACAATACAAGCTATTCAGCAAATGCAATGCCACGTGAGTAGGTAAAGATGTGCCATTAAGACCAAAACCAAGAAAGATGCATCATGAAAATACGGGCATATGAATATTTATCCCGTGGTGGGGAGATAAAAATGCATGTCCAAAACCACTCAAAAGGCACACTAGGATCAAATTCCATATTATAAGTTGGAACATAACATACCATGCACCACATCCCAACTAAAAATACAGATTTTCAGACAGCCTATATTGACATCCAAGCAAAGACCATATATGCGCAACTAAAAATGACTTTTAACAGAGAACTATAATAGGATGCAAGAAGCCTAATAAGGAGATATGTTAGTACTAACCTCATCAGAAGACTGCAGACCTATATGCAAGAAGCCTAATAAGGAGAGATGTTAGTGCTAACCTCATCAGAAGACTGCAGACCTATATGTTCTTCGTGAAACCAATCCTCACAGATACAGCACTGAATCATCTCTACTTGTTCTTCAGCATTTGGATCAGGGTAGGGGAGATCGCATGTGCAGTAAGTTCCTTTGAAATTATGATTGTATTTATTCTCCAAATTTTCCACATCTTTGTTTGGAAAAAGCTTGCAGAAGAACTCCCCGAATTTTGAGTTTCCACAGTCACACCTAAAATTCCTTTTGGTCCAGAGTTCCACAATCTTGTCAAGTAGGAAAAAATAATGACCATCACATAACATGTCAACAGTAATACAACTATGTTTTGTCATAACAGATTATGTAACAGCACACATTGCCTGCAATCTGGCAACTAATATTGGAGATTGTTGAGATCACAATCCTCGGTTGAAGTAAAATCTCAGAAGTTGCAACTAACCATCAAAATTCATTGTACTCTTTAGCATTTTAATATTCCTATTGACTTGAAGAAAAATCAGGTAGTTCTATGCATAGGCATTCTTTACGATCTCTAGTATTATATAATTAGGTAATTATACTAAATTTGGACATTAGCAGTCCAAAGGTTCAAGGTTGTACAACTAACTTGAGACTAAAATAAGCAAAATTGTTTTATCAAATGGGTGGTGCCCTTCAGGGCCAGTGAGGACACATGACCTCATTGGGATGGAGAAAAAATGCCCATCAGGCCTGCCAGCCTATGATACTTTAGAAAATTAATAATTAATTTTAACATCAAATTTTTTAATTCAGTGCTCCTCCAAGCCTAATTGGGAGTTTCAATGCTACATACATAATGAGTCCATCACTGCAAATCTTTAGAACTAGGATAAATAAATCTTTACATAAAGCAATGCTTAAACAGGCTTCATAGGGTACTATTTACACGTAATCGGGTATTGAGGCGTTTTTCCTTCATGAGGTGGGGCTTAAGCCTCGAGGCATTTTTAAGTGTAAACCTCACCACAAAACAAAAAATTGTCAAAAAAATAGTGAAGATATTATAAGGCGCGGGTCTCATACAACTAGGCATATACCTCCAAAAACTGTCTCACAATCAACTTCTTGAGGCATTTTTTTCATGCCTCAATCTGAGGCTGGTCTTAAGGAGAGTTTCAATTTATTTTATTTTTTTTAAATCACGACCAAAAGAATTACTAAGTGCCACCATTCTCAAAAGTTGAAACTCTCGTGCAAGTGTCATAACAATAACCCATAGGTCCTAAATTGAAACTCAATTGTAATATCAAAGGAAACTTTTAAATGAATGGATTTACGTAAGTTCTTAACTAAAAAGAAAAGCGGGAGAATTTTAAAAAGAAGTGGCCAATTTTTGAGTTTGACTAGATGGACATGTCCACATGCAACGCAGTCCAACAGATTAAGTAGATGCTCCAATTATGAATTCAGCGGTACGACTTTTATAACCATACTTCTCTTTCGGTTTCAATATCAAATTTCAATCAAATTACTTTTAAGCCCTTCCTGAAATTGCTTAAGCCATTTAAATATCAAGTTCTCTATCCTTGGTCCACATGCTACAAAAACTAGTAACACAATTATAGTTACTAAAATGAATTTTTGAGTCCTTGTTAACGTAAAATTTATTCAGAAAATGATGTATACATAATGTTCAGTACATGTAGTTGTAGATTTACTCGTAAGGAACAATGGGAAGGTAATGAATAAATTATGTCATTTTGTATTGTCGTGCTATTACATCTTTCAAATTTTTTACCTTTATTAAGTCACGCCCTCACTCGAATAATTTCTTGGCTCCGCCCTCGCTTTCAAGAACTAATACAGTTTGCCCATAGTGAAAGGCATATCTACCATGATTATTGCATAAACTCTTTATTAAAAAAATCCATTATAGGAAGTATATAAATTTTCAAAAAATTAATGTTGATGATGATAATAAGGTTTACTGAATAATATAATATTACTAAAAATAATAATTCTGGCAATATATATTATTAAATCGAATCATCATTATACAGCTTCAAATAAAAATTCAAAATGTTTTGAAAGTTCCTAAAGCTCTAGTAGACTTCAAAGAAAAGAAGTATATATGATCATATCATTGCGACTTGTGAGTAAGCTATAGAAATCAACTTGAGTTATCAGCACAAAGCCCAATCAGGAAAGATAATTCTAGGATCACGATGAAATATTTAAAATAGATGCAGGATCAATATTTATGAAAACACTGTAGTCAGCATGGAGAGAAACGAATAAAGCCTAAAATCAGTGGAGTCAACTTAAAAAGCACATGTAGAAAATAGAAATATATAAAGATTATAAGAGCAGGTTGACAGATGGAAAAAAATACTAGAATGGGTTTCACTGAAATGTATCCAATAAACAATAATTCGGATATCGTTCTAAAGAAAAATAATAACCATAACAATGTGGACATCAAGAACTACTTTCCCTTGCACCCCTTTTAGTAAAAAAATGTAACATTAAAAACTCCACTCTCTTGCAGAAGATGGTAACACAGTAAACATCAGAAACAAAAAGACTACAATAACCTATGAATTTTATGCATAATTTAAGAATTTGGGGAGCATAGAAGCTACAAGTAGCATCTCTAGCATCTAAATATTAAATGCTTCCAGCTTGCAACATAAAGACAAGTTCGGTTTCAATTGGTGCATGTGCATGTACTGACAGATAGCATTTGATTTCTTTTGTAGATGACACAGATAAACTTAAGTTAATGAACTAAACAATACCTCGTGGCCATCATGGCAAGACAAGGAGCAGGCCGTACAAACCCCAGCATTCCCCTCTGGTGTGCATGTCAAACATGAGAAAATTGCCTGCCTCTTCATGTAACCTTTGTTATATGTGCACTCCTTGCCCTCATCACCTCCCAATACCAAATCCGCTTCCTTTATAATAATCCAACAACGGTCAAAAGCAACACTAAATGAAATCCGGAAACAATTTTCTAAGAGAATAACATTTATCTAAAATAAAGGAGCCTATATCCTCAAGATAATAAGAATTTCAATGATCTGCTGAAGCCAGAAAGAATTCAGTTAGCAAAGAACATTCACAATTCAAAAGCTTGTTACGAGGATAGTTCAGCATTCAAATCACATACAGTGGCCAATAAACTGGCAAACTTCTAGTTTGCCCTCGCTGCCTATTATGACTCCCAAAAGCAAGTTACAAAATAATGAGCTTCATTATATTTCCACAAGTAATCTGAAATCAGTCTCAAAACAAAATGAATAATACACCCGAGTAGAACCATTAGGGTATTGTGCGTTTTCACCACAACAAAATTTCAAAGCTAATACGAATGTGATTTAAAGGTCACTAAATGGTTTGGTCTCAGTGAGACTAAGACCTCACTAATAATTAAACCCAAGCCCCTTGCAATTCCTAAGTATCAACAGAATCTTTACATAGTACAATCCAGAGCTCGATTTTCACTCTTGTAATGTATTCTCTATGGTTATGGGGTACCATAAAAGCCAAGCGCTGTTTTGCTAACCAGATAGAAATTTTCCCAAAGAACCTTTCAAGCAGCTATAACAAGATGGCCAGTAAACAATTTTTGTAAAAAAAATCGTAGAAGAATAAAACTTAGTCACCAGGTCCTCTTCTTCAACAGCCTTGAGGTAGTCTCCGATTGAAATCGTGGGATCAGCTTCACCTTCACCTTCACCTTCACCTTCAAACACATCAGTCATTTTCCCCAAAATTCCTAACTGGTAGTTGTACTTATTTTCAGATTATTATAAGTTAAAAGGGGCAGAGAAGAAACCCTAGATTCTTGAGAAACCGAAAAAAAGGAACCCGAACAGATTTTCCTACGGGGGAGTGTACGAAATTAATCGTAAACGGGTGAGAATAAGATCAACGTTCTGAAATTGGAAGCAAATTTGGGCCTTTCAGATGTGGGTTAGGGTTTTATATAAGAGGAATAAGTTGTCATTCCCTGAATAGGATATTTCCCGCCAATTTGAGCCCCAGCATTTTGGGATATTGATAGAAGTGTTATGCAGTGACGTATTTCTTCGAAGTTTTTCGGAAAAAAAAATTGCTTTTATTATGGTGATTTTTAGAAAATTATGGGGTTAAAAAAATAGAGAAAATTTTGAATTTATTTGTAAAATTATAACGTGGAATTGAAAAAGAATTTGGGAGAAAGTACTTTTATAAATTGCGGGGCTCAAACAAGAGCATAATGGGCTTTCCTTCATTGAAATTGGGAGTTGTCTTCATTGTAGGTTGGGTGTTCTCGAAATTTGTCATTTTGGAAATATTTTTAAATTTCGTTAATTGATTCAGACTACTCATGATTTTGATTACGAATTCAATATCTTTTTCAGTAGTAACAGATAGCTATATATTTTAGGATTAAAAGCAATATTAATTGTCGGCTTTGCAATGTTGTTTCACTTTGACCAGTGGCGGAGCTAGCACCCGGTGAGGGGCGCGGCCGTGAGTGCTGGCTCCGCCGGAATGTTCAGCGTCGCGGGGTAGCACCGTAGTAGTCAACAGGCGATGGTAGTTGCAGAGCCGAGGAAAATGGAAAGGAAGAGATGACCCAATTTTCCAATTTTTTTTTTGTTTGGGCCGATAAGAATTGACACATGGAGCCTCTTTTTTGTTTAAAAACGTTAGGCCCGATTTCCCCCAAATGGCCAACAAATGGTCCAAGACTTCAAATGAAATGACCAAATCAAATGGGCAACTTACAAAAATACCCTTAAAATTATGAGGATTTTGAAAAATCATATGAAAAGTTTTTTAGAAGTAAAAAATACTGTGTAAAATAAAAAAGTGACACGATGCCACTTTTTTATAAGAGTTGCGTCACTTTTTTTTAGAAAAAGTGACACAATATCACTTTTAAAAGTTTTGTATCATTTTTTTATTAAAAAATTACATACAATGTTACTTTTATTAAAAAGTATTGTTTGTAACTAAAAAAGTGATAGAAATTTCAAATAAGCAATTGAAAAAAGTGACAAAAACTAAAAAAAAGTGAAAAATTCAAAAAAGTGAGAATTATTAAAAAAAATGACAAAAATTCAAAAAAGTAACAGAAACTTAAAAAAGGTGACAAATATAAAAAAGAGACAAATTAAAAAAAAGTTACACATATTCGAAACAAATGAGGGGCATGGAAATCAATTGTTAAGTGTCATTTTCTTATTAAAAAATGATATAACCATGTCATTTTTATTAAAAGTGATGTTTGTCATTAAAAAAGTGATAGAAATAAAAAATGTAATTGAAAAAAGTGACAAACACTTAAAAAAAAAAAAGTGACAAATTCAAAAAAGTGACAAAAATTCAAAAAAGTAACAAAAAAAAAGTGGCGAATTCAAAAAAGTGACACAAATTAAAAAAGGATATATGTTGAGCTTGTTCATCACATGCATCTTCCATCTTTGCCTCGTCAACAATGTGTAAGCTGAAACCCAATAATACCTATGCTACCATGAACATTATCTAACTAATATCTTCTATACAATTAGACACAAACTTGATAAGTAAGGGAAAAGAGGTGTTGACTATTCGTTACTGATCGCATGTAAATTAATAATTGATTTTAGATGGTAATGGACTCCTTAATTTATTGTTCAGCGTACTAAAATATATCATAACTCCATTAAACAATGAATCAAAAGACTGCTCATATCCACCTAAATAAATATTGGGCACAACCTATAATGTGGCCATACGACTATCTGGATTGTCCAATTTGGGGCCATTAGACCTTAAGGGACAAATCCTAATACAACCCTTTTTCGATGGTGAGTCGAGGACTCAATCAGAGAAGTATATGGTGCAATCACAACGCTCCACCCTCACACTGGTGGCTTCAGACACTTACTAGAAATGATATACCATGTCACTTTTATTAAAAGTGATATTTGTCAATAAAAAAGTTATAGAAACCAAGAATGTAATTGAAAAAAGTGATAAACACTTTTTAAAAAAGTGACATTCAAAAAAGTGACAGGAAAAAAAAGTGGCGAATTCAAAAAAGTGACACAAATTCAAAAACGATACATGTTGAGCTTGTTCATCACACGCATCTTCCATCTTTGCCTCGTCAACAATCTGTAAGCTAAAATCCAATAGTACCTATGCTACAATGAACATTATCTAACTAATATTTTCTATACAATTAGACACAAACTTGATAAGTAAGGGAAAAGAGGTGTCGACTATTTGTTACTAATCACATGGAAATCTTCTAAGCAAAGATTGAGATTAGTAATTCAAAAATTTGTGAGTTTGTAGTAACATTTGTTTTCATACAGAAAGATCTAATGACCTTTGCCACAAGGGCACCTGAAATGAAATTTAATCATAGACATAAGATGCAAATTATACACTCAAGATGTAAATAAATACCAAAGCAACAATGGAACAATTACAGAAAAATCATACGGTCTACAATTATTATTTTTTAAGATTAAACTATGAATTTATACCAGAAAAAGAAAAACAAGAACTTAATCTTTTTCTTCACATTCAAAACACCTTAACTGGTCCTCTAATTCACGATTTCACAATGGATTTTAGTATTTTTCATTAAATAAATATTACCCAAAAAAATAGAAAATAAACATGAGTGAGAGAGGTGAACTTCATATTTCAAATCGGAGTCGGAAACACCACCTACCATGGTGACGAGGAATGCATTGATGATGGGGAATAGTGGGCTAGAAACACTGAAAGTTTATTGACTAGAAATCACCATAATGAAATTACAGATTTAGGACTTGATTGGGACTGATTCATGAATGATTAATGGTCAAATTTGGTATGATAGTGGACGGCGGGAGAAAAAACAAATCATTATATTAATTTGCGTGTCCCGTTTCCTTGTGGATCCACACATTCCTTCACAAGAATCAACTGAATGGTAGGGTGCGGTGTTCGTGGAATTAGATTAGTTTTTGCCTTGTTTGATTTTTACGGTTAATTAATGCTAATGAAAAGATAAAACTTTAAAAGTGTATTAATCAATTTTTTAATAAATGGGCCGTACGGGGCCTAATTTTACCAAATCAAATCCATTCAAATTTAATCCATTCTGTCTCTAATTCTCTGAAACGCAAAGGAGGCGCAAACCCTTTTCCTCCCTTCTGGCCTTCTCCATTCTATAATTTCCGTTCAAAGCAGAGGTAATACCGCAACAGCTACCGACAAGCGATGCGGACGCCAGGTGACAGGGGTGAGGCCGCGAGGAGGAGTCGCTGGCGCAGCCAAAAACGTGTTTTGCCCGATTGCCCTTCTAGTCTCAGAAAGTCAGAATCTTCGAGCTCGAGCCTCGAGCAGACTAGTGAGCGCATTTCTCTTACTCTCTTTCTCTCTGTTGTTGTTGTTTTTTTTCCCCCCTAGAATTATAAGAATTAGGTATTGACTTGTTGAATAATGAATGTTATTTGTAAATTGTGAGTTATTATGGAGAATTGTGATTTATGATAAGTAACTTATGTTTTATGAATTATTATTATTGATTTGGGAATTTATGTTTAGGAAATTAGGATAAATGAAAAAAAATTAATTGAGAAGATGTTGGATTGTATTGAATTATATTTTCATATGTATATAACTTTTATATTTTAATGTATTTACATATATATTGAATAACTTTTAATATTATTTAATCAAAATTTAATAAACGATCGGGCTATTACGATAGTTGATTGTCGATGGTCGATAGTCAACGATCAACGGTCAAGCTCCACCCTAGCTGAAATTCGATGCTGAATTCGCCCCTGACTTTGACCATATAACATTTTTATATAAACTAGTTAGTGAAGTGTCACTTTCTCTTGAATCTAGCACTCTATCTAGCTCCATTTTTCTACTAATTTATAAGTCAATGATACAACTTTCGCACATACAAAAGTTCAAAAAATTTTGGTAATTAAGATGAAATACTAAAAAGGTAAACACCACGTTAAGGCTTTGCTTAATTCTCGTGCACTTCGTGCGATGGCTGTGTGATAACTCGAGTCTCCAACTTTGCATCATGTCAATATCACCTCATAGGTTGCAGAGTCTTCGCATAAAGATGAGTCATTGGTGGAGCGAACCTCCCATAGGATCGCGTAGAAAGTGACGAGCCTAGATAAGTCTAACAGTAGGGAAACCTTGTACTTTGAAATCTTACTTTTTATTTGAGTGGCTCCACAAATTTTTATGACAAGGAAACAATCTTATCAATTTATAAAGATTCGTTGCAGAATCTTTAACGATAAGGAGAAATAATGGTGAAATAGGCAATTTAATTTTCTAGGACAATATTACAGTGATCACAGCTCTCAACCAATTATTTTTTGTTGGAAATCAAGGAAAATTGGTTAAGTGTTAAAAACCAAAATTGAAAAAGTGGCTTTCGTGTCAATTTCGACCAAATATTACGACTTGATCCGATAATCAAATTATAAATGTAAATGGACCAACTTGTTCTACTCGTCGAGTAAATCGTCGTGATATATATGAAATCTCAAAACTAATTCCGGATGAATGAAAAATTGCGGTCCAAAGTTGGGAAGAAAAATAGTAGAAATGACTTAGTCGACTATCGCTCGAGCAACAGCTCAATTTAACAAAAAGCGAGCTAAAAAGTCTGTAAAAATCTGACATTCTCGCTCGAGCAAGAGTCCAGCAAAAAGCTAGCAACGAAACAGTATTGAAAGTTTGCAAGTTTTAGCGTGCATCACTTCGTCCACAACTTCTCATCCTCTATAAAATAAGACCCCTTGGACGTCCTTTTTGGATACCATATCATACTTGCATTGAATATCGATAAGTGTAGTTTATACACTTATTCAATGTTTTAAAACGATGATATTTGGTTTCTTTTCGGATGAATTATGGTTTAAATTGTTGCATTCGGTATTGAATAGGTAAAATTCAATGATGATACAAGAAATTGGAAGAAGCACAAGTGGTCGAAATTGGAAAAAATAGCTAAGTTGTAAGTGATCCAAAGTTTGGGG